ACCATTAAAATAAGATAATTAGTTTTTATACACTTGAAAGAAGAGACTGTTTTTTTCTTATTTTAAGCGTAAATTGTCTTGTTTCATTGACAAAATGTCTCTTTTACTTCCTCAATCCAAGAACAAATAGACTTACAGTACTTTAAGAAAAAATGACTTATTTAGAGTTACATTTTTACAGTTTATGCCGCATGGTTCAAGGTCTGCGAAAAAAGTAGTGGCTTATAATCCAGAAAATACGGTAATCTGTATTGGTATAGGCTTTAAAAAACTTGTATCAGCCCATGTTTGGACTTGGTACGGAGCCCCCTAGAGGACATGGGGAATTTTTTTTTCTTTTGCGTTCCCTCGCAAAATTTTGCGTGAGAACACAAAACCTTACTTCGGTAAAGTTAGAAAGATATTCACAGATTCGGACTTCCGGGATCAATAACTCTCGATCAATGTAATACATCCAGCTTGGAGAACGGCTCGTTTTTCTCGAAAATAACGCTTTTCTTGTAACACGTAATCTGTGTTATCAGGACATGAAAGATGCGCCATTTGTGTTTCAACAATGAGAGTTATTGATCCCGGAAGTCCGAATCTGTGAATATCTTTCTAACTTTACCGAAGTAAGGTTTTGCGAGGTAACGCAAAAGGTTTTGCGAGGTTACTCAAAATTTTGCGAGGTAACGCAATACTTTTTCGAGGGAAGGCAAAAGAAAAACAAATTCCCCATGTCCCCTAGGGGGCTCCATAACTTGGTCTATTATAGAAACCAGATTTTCCTTCCAAGAAGCTGGGTCTTCCTTTAAAGGAGAAGTCCGGTCACACTGCAAAAATGTTCTGAAAATGAGCAAAAATTTCTTAAAATAAGTGTATTTACCGTTAATTTGAGTAGGAAAATAAGATTACATGCTAATAGAATGAGCATTTTTACCATTAAAATAAGATAGTTTTTATACACTTGAAACAAGAGACTGTTTTTTTCTTATTTTAAACGTAAATTGTCTTGTTTCATTGACAAAATGTCTCTTCCTCAATCCAAGAAGAAATAGACTTACTTTAAGAAAAAATAACTTATTTAGATTTATATTTTTTACAGTTTATGCCGCATGGTTCAAAGTTTGCGAAAAAAGTAGTGGCTTATAATCAAGAAAATACGGTAATCTGTATTGGTATAGGCTTTAAAAAACTTGTATCAGCCCATGTTTGGACTTGGTACGGAGCCCCCTAGAGGACATGGGGAATTTTTTTTTTCTTTTGCATTCCCTCGCAAAACCTTACTTCGGTAAAGTTAGAAAGATATTCACAGATTCGGACTTCCGGGATCAATAACTCTCGATCAATGTAATACATCCAGCTTGGAGAACGGCTCGTTTTTCTCGAAAATAACGCTTTTCTTGTAACACGTAGTCTGTGCTATCAGGACATGAAAGATGCGCCATTTGTGTTTCAACAACGAGAGATATTGATCCCGGAAGTCCGAATCTGTGAATATCTTTCTAACTTTACCGAAGTAAGGTTTTGCGAGGTTGCGCAAAATTTTGTGAGGTAACGCAATACTTTTGCGAGGGAACGCAAAAGAAAAACAAATCCCCCATGTCCCCTAGGGGGCTCCATAACTTGGTCTATTATAGAAACCAGATTTTCCTTCCAAGAAGCTGGGTTTTCCTTTAAAGGAGAAGTCCAGTCACACTGCAAAAATGTTCTGAAAATGAGCAAAAATTTCTTAAAATAAGTGTATTTACCGTTAATTTGAGTAGGAAAATAAAATTACATGCTAATAGAATGAGCATTTTTACCATTAAAATAAGATAAATAGTTTTTATGCACTTGAAAGAAAAGACAGCAGTTGTTTTTTTCTTATTTTAAATGTAAATTATCTTGTTTCATTGACAAAGTGACTCCCTTATCGGCTCAATTTAAGAAAAATTTACTTAGTTTAAGAAAAATTGACTTACTTTAATTTACATTTTTTGCAGTGGATATTCAGAATTCAAACTTATCCAGATTTAGATTTTTTCCAGTGTAAATGTAGTGCTGTGAGGTCATTTACCGAACAGCAACAGCATCAATAAACAGGTTTAAATACTTAGTTTCTGTACTAATGAGGGGCGTTGGATAAATAATGCACCTGACAAACTTCTAGTTGTCTGATCCAGCTGATATTTTTCATCTGCATTTATTCATTATCTATACACTGGAAAAATGATCTAGAAATAAGAAAACATTTCTTAAATTAAGTGTATTTACCCTTAATTTCAGTAGGTAAATGAGATAGTTTGCCAATGGAATGAGCATTTTTACTCTTAAATAAGATTATTATTTTACCTCTTCAATCCAAGAACAAATGCACTTATTTTAAGAAGAATTAACTTATCTCGGTATCTTTTTTAATTAAATGGCAAAGTCCAGTTGCGCACTGCAAAAACATTTAAAAATTTGTAAAAAAAAAAAAAAAAAAAAAAATATGTGTTTTTTTAATTTATTTTTATTTTTTTTATTTTATTTATTTATTTATTTTTATTTTATTATTTTTTTTTATTATTCATTATTATTCTTTTTTTTTTTTTTTTTTTTTCTTAAAATAAGTATATTTACCTTTAATTTGAGGATGTAAATAAGATGACCTGCCAATGGAAAGAACATTTTATAATCTTAAAAGTATAAAAGATAATTAGATATTATGCACTTAAAAGAAGAGACTACAGTTGTTGTTTTTTTCTTATTTTAAATGTAAGTTGCCTTATTCCATTTGCAATGTGTATCACTTAACTGCTCAATTCAAGAAAAAATTCTCTTATTTTAAGAAAAATAAACATACTTAGATTTTAATTTTTTGCAGTGTAAACTGATAGTTTCTCGTTTACATTGTTTGAACTGAGTCATGTCAGAAATGGAGCAAGCACTGGAAAAACAATCTAGAAATAATTAAAAATGTCCCAAATTAAGTGTATTTACTCTTAATTTGAGCAGGTAAATAAGATAGTTTGCCAATGGAATTAATATTTTTACGCTTAAAATAAGATAATTAGATAATATGCACTCAAAATAAGACAATGCAATTGTGTTTTCTTATTTTAAGTGTAAATTGTCTTGTTCCGTTGGCAAAATGTCTATTTTATCTCCTCAATCCAAGAACAATTGCACTTCTTTTAAGAAAAAATCATTTATCTAGATCTTTTTGTTGAGTGTGGAGCAGTGATCTGCTTTTTCTATGGCCTTGTTAGGTCATACGATGGGGCATAAAATCAAAATAAGTTACTTTCATTTCATCAGAAGTCTTCTGTGCACTGGAAAAAAATTGATATCTAGATAAGTATTTTTTTTCTTAAAATAAGTGCATTTGTGCTTCGATTGAGGAGGTAAAAGAGACATTTTGCCAATGGAACAAGACAATTTACACTTAAAATAAGAAAACACAATTGCATTGTCTAATTTCAAATGCATTTTATCTAATTATCTTATTTTAAGTAAAAAATACTCATTCTACTGGCAAACTATCTAATTGGCCTACTCAAATTAATGATAAATATACTTAATTTAGGAAAGTTTTACTTATTTCTAGATCGTTTTTCCAGAGTGGTGTGCAGATCTCTGCTCGACATTCAAAAGGCTCCATTTCAGACTTAACTCTATTACAAAAACCACAAAGAAAATAATTACATTATTATACTATTTAAACGTTATTGAACAGTTCTCCATTAGACAAAGAACCCAAGCAAAATAAAACTTACTATGGTTACATTAAAATGCATGAATAGATATGAAAGTGTGTGGCGGCACCATGCTCTTACTGTGAGCTACAGACAGGGGGCTCTTGCGGGTTACAGGTGTATAAAATGTTCAGGTGGTCTCTGAGGTCATGGAGATAAAGTCTCTGATGACCGGACGAATCCGAAATACGTTTCTGTGCGTATTGCATCCTCGTTTCTGTTATTGGACTTGGTACATTTACTATTCTGCTGCCACGAACGGGACACCTCTTCAGCGACAACTAGCTTGCTGTTGCCATGACCAGAGGCGGGTTTAGGAAATGTGGGGCCCTAGGCAAAGACAGGCAGAGGCCCCTCTGAATTAAGAAGACAACACAAAAAACAAACTTATTCTCCAAATAGAGAAATGTTAATAGAATAGACATCCATTATCTGTTCTAGGTTGTGTCCCTCTCTTCTTGTCCCTTTTCTTCTTGTTTTCCTCTCTATGTTTTGTACTCAGCTGACTTTTCATGCTGTCTCTAAAGGAATGAAAGATTTTTTCCAAGCACTAAGCTCACTTAGCTGATTGCTCCTTCCTGTGTTTCCAAAAAGGCCAAAGTAAATAACCCAGTCCTTCTTTTCACTGTAGACAAGCCATGATCTGCTTATCTGTTCTCCATTTTTCATTTGGATGAAATAATAGCTGCATGAATCATGACAGCAGACAAGATAGAGGAGAGCAGGAGGCGGGGTTACCAATCTACTCGCTCTGGAGAGCAGAGTTCGCTGCTTTTAGATGTTGTCTCCAAAGTCTCCAGTAGCAGAAAAAAGTCTCTAGATTTGGCGCTAGGAGCTTTTTTAAAATCAAAGGACTTTTATCAAAAACATAATTAATGTGCACAAATAAGGACTAGCTGTATTAACCATACATGTAGAAAAAGTTTTGTGGGGCCCCAAAGAACTTGGGGCCCCAGGTGAGTGCCTATTTTTGACTAATGGTAAATCTGCCCCTGGCCATGATAACGTAACTTCAGTGAACTTGTGATGATTAAGCCTCAAAATAAATAAATAAAAATCTGAACACATGTAATATTAAAATAAAGAAAAGTCAAAATTATTTCCTAAAATATTTATAAGAAGTGTATAAACTGTGGAAACTATTTTAATAATTTTTTTAAAGTCTCCCTCTCGCCACTAGGGCGTGCTGTGGCACCCCTAGCATCCCCACTTCCCGCGGCCGTGGTGTTGGATGAATCTGATCATCATCAGTTTGCTTCCTTCGTGTTTCCACGCCGACTGACCGCCTCTTCTCCTCAGATGGCAGCGTCAGACTCGGCTCGGAGCTGAACGCAGAGTCTGCGGCCCCGCCGCGTCTGGCTGATCTGCTGAAAACGTCTTCAGGCTGGGAGCTCAGCAGACGTCGATCCAAGAGGTCGGTGTTTTTACAGCCCGGGGTGAGAATCTGCTCCCAAGAGAGCTTTGAGGACGTCCTCGCCAGCCACCAGGCCTACTACCAACTCAGAGGTACATTCATTAAAATACCATGATTGAGTTCTGATTTGATATGTTGGTGAATCTGCTAACAACAGGTAACAACATTTGTCCTGAGGTTGTTTGCAATTCTATTATTAGATGAACAGTTGGTCAGCTGGTCTCCATCCCTCCGATCTCTCCTTAAACTGCAAAAATGATCGAAAAACGTGTAAAGGCTCCATAAAGTTAGCTTGTCTTTAATAAATGAAATAATGGAATGGAGATTTTTGTCCTTCAGTTGAGATAACTGGATGGTTTGCACGTGGAAGCAATGTTGGTTTAGTCAACTTTGACGCAATTATTTTGTTGACGCTCCTTTTTTTCATGACGATAACGAAAACTGATGAGCTAAACATGGATCTTTGATTAATAAAACATGACGAGTGATCGGTTTGAGTTTTACTCAACGAGACTAAATAAAAAATAGCGTGTCGTCGCTCAAACGTTTAAGCTGCATCAACGGGCTGTAATCACACAGCTGCGCAGCTACTTCCTGTTAGGTCAGCCGCCCATCTGCCGAACAGTGTTGAACATGCTGCAGGAACACAGCTGGATCACCGTGGAGACCCAATGAAGGCCCAATGGAGACACCATGGAGACCCAATGGAGACACCATGGAGACCCAGTGGAGACCCAATGAAGGCCCAATGGAGACACCATGGAGACCCAGTGGAGACACCATGGAGACCCAGTGGAGACCCAATGAAGGCCCAATGGAGACACCATGGAGACCCAGCGGAGACCCAATGAAGGCCCAATGGAGACACCATGGAGACCCAGTGGAGACACCATGGAGACCCAGTGGAGACCCAATGAAGGCCCAATGGAGACACCATGGAGACCCAGTGGAGACCCAATGAAGGCCCAATGGAGACACCATGGAGACACAATTGAGGCCCCATGGAGACCCAGTGGAGACCCAGTGGAGACCCAATGAAGGCCAATGAAGGCCCAATGGAGACACCATGGAGACACAATTGAGGCCCCATGGAGACCCAGTGGAGACACCGTGGAGACCCAGTGGAGTAACCATGGAGACACAATGGAGGCCCAGTGGAGACCCAATAAAGACACCATGGAGACCCAATGAAGGCCCAATAGAGACACCATAGAGACCCAATGAAGGCCCGATAGAGACGCCATAGAGGCCCCATGGAGACCCAATGGAGACACCATAGAGACCCAATGAAGACCCAATAGAGACACCATAGAGACCCATTGAAGACCCAATAGAGACACCATAGAGACCCAATGAAGGCCCAATAGAGACACCATAGAGACCCAATGAAAGCCCAATAGAGACACCATAGAGGCCCCATGGAGACCCAATGGAGACACCATGGAGGCCCCATGGAGACCCAATGGAGACACCATAGAGACCCAATGAAGACCCAATAGAGACACCATAGAGACCCAATGAAGGCCCGATAGAGACGCCATAGAGGCCCCATGGAGACCCAATGGAGACACCATAGAGACCCAATGAAGACCCAATAGAGACACCATAGAGACCCATTGAAGACCCAATAGAGACACCATAGAGACCCAATGAAGGCCCAATAGAGACACCATAGAGACCCAATGAAAGCCCAATAGAGACACCATAGAGGCCCCATGGAGACCCAATGGAGACACCATGGAGGCCCCATGGAGACCCAATGGAGACACCATAGAGACCCAATGAAGACCCAATGGAGACACCATAGAGACCCAATGAAGACCCAATAGAGACACCATAGAGACCCAATGAAAGCCCAATAGAGACACCATTGAGGCCCAATGAAGACCCAATAGAGACACCATAGAGACCCAATGAAAGCCCAATAGAGACACCATTGAGGCCCAATGAAAGCCCAATAGAGACACCATAGAGACCCAATGAAAGCCCAATAGAGACACCATTGAGGCCCAATGAAAGCCCAATAGAGACACCATAGAGACCCAATGAAGACCCAATAGAGACACCATAGAGACCCAATGAAGACCCAATAGAGACACCATTGAGGCCCAATGAAGACCCAATAGAGACACCATAGAGACCCAATGAAGGCCCAATAGAGACACCATAGAGACCCAATGAAGGCCCAATAGAGACACCATTGAGGCCCAGTAGAGGCCCAATGGAGACACCATGGAGAATTTTAAGGGTAAATACACTTAATAGAATTTTTTTTTATTATTTCTAGATTGTTTCTAAAGTTTTTCTTGCTCCATTTTCTCTCTTTTTAGTTTAGTAAGACTGTGCTTGTGAATTAATAATGAAATGTGTTCAATGGAGCAAATAAATTCAAATTACTACTAAATAAAGGGGCTTTATGCAGTGCCCTGTGGCATGCCCTTAGAGAGCAAATTAATCCTGCCCATGACGTCCGTCTGGGTTTACCTCTCCTTCCTCCTTTTTGTCCTTCATCACATCAGCTGACAGAGTTTTGCTGCCATCAGTCGTCTCCTCTGCCCTGCAGGCCTTTGTTCTTCATCTCTGAGCTCATCAGCGGTGCCGCCCTGCATCACATTGATCCAGATCATTCTTCAGCCGGGAAGCACCGGAGCCTGAACTCTATCTGAGATAATCCTGTTTGACACATGCCCGAACTGCTGCTGTGAAATGATTCAATCAGGCCTTTTCACTTCTAATAGCAGAACTCATACATTTCAGGGTCATGCTTTTCCTTTTTTTTCTGTGAAGGTCTGGATGTCTTAGGGAGGGCAGGGGGCTCTGATGTTCCTCACCATTTGAGGATGGAGTCACGTTGCACTGAAGGATTTTACCTTCAGGATGGAAGCTTCTGCAACATTAAAGCTCTTTTTTTATCTCCTTTCAGAGGTGAACCAGGAGTAGGAGACGCGCTGCAGACTTTTTTCGCCAATGATTCATCTGTTTGTCATATCAGCCTGGAGCATAAAACATTTATGTAACTTGATTTTTAATTGCCTGGGTTAGCCAGCAGCTTGTTGCCTGCTGGTTTAATTCATGCTAATTGTTATAGTTCATTGAAAAACTGATTTAGACATAAAGCTTTTAAGTTGTTTTTTATGTGTAATTAATCTGTGGAAAATCTTTGCAATCACTGAAGCCCTCTTACTGCACAGGTGCATTTAAAAATAATTCACACCGCACTTTATTTTGACTGAACTTCAGTCTGTGGGAGGGTGCAAACTGAGCACAGAAGCCTCCATGGGGCCTCTATTGAGTCTCAGTTGGGCCTGCATTGGGTCTCCATGGGGCCTGCATTGGGTCTCCATGGGGCCTGCATTGGGTCTCCATGGGGCCTGCATTGGGTCTTAATGGGGCCTCCATTGGGTCTCCATGGAGCCTGCATTGGGTCTCCATGGGGCCTGCATTGGGTCTCCATGGGGCCTACATCGGGTCTCCATGGGGCCTCCATTGTGTCTCCATGGGGCCTCCATTGTGTCTCCATGGGGCCTGCATTGAGTCCCCATGGGGCCTGCATTGAGCCTCCATGGGGCCTGCATTGGGTCCCCATGGGGCCTGCATTGGGTCTCCATGGGGCCTACATCGGGTCTCCATGGGGCCTCCATTGAGTCTCCATGGGGCCTCCATTGAGTCTCCATGGGGCCTGCATTGGGTCCCCATGGGGCCTGCATTGGGTCCCCATGGGGCCTGCATTGAGCCTCCATGGGGCCTGCATCGGGTCCCCATGGGGCCTACATCGGGTCTCCATGGGGCCTACATCAGGTCTCCATGGGGCCTCCATTGGGTATCCATGGGGCCTGCATTGAGCCTCCATGGGGCCTATATTGGGTCTCCATGGGGCCTACATCGGGTCTCCATGGGGCCTCCATTGGGTCTCCATGGGGCCTGCATTGGGTCTCCATGGGGCTTCCATTGGTTCTTAATGGGGCCTCCACTCATTCTCCATGGGGCCTCCATTGAGCCTCCATGGGGCCTCCATCGGGTCCCCATGGGGCCTGCATTGAGCCTCCATGGGGCCTGCATCGGGTCCCCATGGGGCCTACATCGGGTCTCCATGGGGCCTACATCAGGTCTCCATGGGGCCTCCATTGGGTATCCATGGGGCCTGCATTGAGCCTCCATGGGGCCTATATTGGGTCTCCATGGGGCCTACATCGGGTCTCCATGGGGCCTCCATTGGGTCTCCATGGGGCCTGCATTGGGTCTCCATGGGGCTTCCATTGGTTCTTAATGGGGCCTCCACTCATTCTCCATGGGGCCTCCATTGAGCCTCCATGGGGCCTCCATTGGGTTTCCATGGGGCCTGCATTGGGTCTCCATGGGTCCTGCATTGGGTCCCCATGGGGCCTGCATTGAGCCTCCATGGGGCCTGCATTGGGTCTCCATGGGGCCTCCATTGGTTCTTAATGGGGCCTCCATTGAGTCTCCATGGGGCCTCCACTCATTCTCCATGGGGCCTCCATTGAGTCTCCATGGAGCCTCCATTGGGTTTCCATGGGGCCTGCATTGGGTCTCCATGGGCCCTGCATTGGGTCCCCATGGGGCCTGCATTGAGCCTCCATGGGGCCTGCATTGGGTCTCCATGGGGCCTCCATTGGTTCTTAATGGGGCCTCTATTGAGTCTCCATGGGGCCTCCACTCATTCTCCATGGGGCCTCCATTGAGTCTTCATGGGGCCTCCATTGGTACTCCATCGAATCTTCATAGGGCCTGCATCGAAGGTCTGGAAGTCTTTGAAGCCATCGATCTGTCATCATTATCAGAATCTTTTCCTGAGATAATTATTTCTCAAAGATGTTTATGTTGGTCCTGCCTGTGTCGGGCCCCAAGACCAATACATTTTCTACATGATTAAAGTTTTATCCATGTCAAAAAAAATTATCATTTTATGAAACTATCAGTTTTAGAAATCCGTCCAAATTTTTGTTTTAGATTTCAAATTTCAGTTTCTTGCAGCAGCTACACATCTAGGTCTGATTGTTTGTCTCTGGAACAAACTATGGAATATTTTTCCATTCATATCAGCTGTTGTTTGTCAGTTTGCCAGGAGGCGGTGTGGGAGGCCTTCCGGATCTTTCTGGACAGAATCCCTGGGACCTCAGAGTACCAGACATGGGTCCACGCCTGTCAGCAGGAGTCCCTCTGCATCTCGGACATCGCCAAGAACTTCAGCAGCTCTGAGGAGCACATCAGCATGATCAACAGGGTAAAGAAGCACAAACGTTTACACCAAACCAGAGTCGGTTTGGTGACGATCCGTGACTGACTGAGTGGTTTGGTCTGTTTCAGAGAATGAGCCGCCTGAGAGACAGAAGGCCTCCGTCCCGGTAAGGGCTGCAGAATTTTCACAGTACAGAACCAGGCTGGGTGACTTTAGATGGCCACAGATCTTGGTTTAGGTTAGATGTCCTACAGCTCAGCAGAAATGAAGTCGAAATCGGAATGGGTAACGCTTTCGTTGACAGTACATCAATAACTATGTAATAGCATGTTAATAACATAGAAAGTTACACCATGTTACAAGGTAACAAAAAAAGAATTGGTTCGATGCTGTGCTTCAAATTTTAGGCAGACAAGGTAAAGTCTGATTTCTTAGATTTCAAACCATTATTACTCGGTAACTTATATTAATTAAGAAGACGGCAATAAATGAATGGTTATTATCTGGTAAAATGCAGTTTCTTACTTGGTATATAACAGAAAATCAAACCTAGAATACAGCAAGACAATCTTCTTCACTAAACTCTTGTTTGCATGTAACTTAAGTTCAGTTATAATGCTTTATTTACCCGATAATAAGTTCCAATATACTTTGTAAGCCATTAGTAGGTGGTGGCCAATAATAGAAACTGTCATGTGTTAAGCTAATGGTAATAACCCAACAAAAGTCTCCAATGTTAGTCACATACGGTTGTATTAATTACATGACGGTTATTATTTTTGAAATTATATACCTTAATCTTTGGATTATTACCCAAAAAAAAGGCTTTTCTTGTTACCAGGTACTATAGTGTGACTTACTGTATTATTACCATGTTATTACATGGTTATTGATGTACTGTATAAGAAAGGATTACCTCAGAATGGTTAATCGTAATAATAAAAAAAACTCGTCCTGTTATTTTGGATGAGGTAAAAAGATTTGGTCTTTTCTAAAGTTCTGCAAATGTCTGAATGTGGTTTGGTCAGAAACACTGTAAGTTGCTACAGAGATTAATTGATGCCTTTCATTGACTGATTTAATTATTTCTTTTCTCTTGTGCAGCGGCTAAAATCCTATATTTTAGGCTACTGGTTGCTCTTCCTGAAAGGTGTTGGTGTTTCATGCACTCAATTAAAATTATACCGATCTTTAGTTTGACTTATAATAAAGTCATTTATTATCAGAACACTGTCCGTCGTTTTACTGCTTTACACTCGTTAAAAACACCTGAACAGAATCATGGTTGGGCTTAAATTGCCCCATCCCCCATCAGACAATTAGAACTCAAAATGAAATACGCTAGCCTGGTGAGACCATCCTGATCTCGCGAGCTTTCAAGATTTCACTCGCTAATCAGTCTGGAGACTCTCCGTTGAAGAAACGAACGTCACCAAACGAACGTCCAATCAGAGTTGGCTTTGAGGCGGGTTGAGGTGTGACGCAACGAGAAGCGCGACAGTTCAGTCTAAAGAACATGGCGGCTTCAGCCGATGAAACTAGCGTTAGCGTGGCTATCGAGCAAGTTTTGTATTTCTTCACTGAAAGAAGAGCAAAACACTGCTCTGGAGGCTTTTCTGAGAGGAAAAGATGTTTTTGCTCTTCTCCCGACTGGTTTCAGCAAGAGTTTGATCTATCAATTGGCTCCTCTTGGTTGTCGCTCTGTTAGTACGTCATATGCTTCGTTGATCTGATTGGTTTATTTGGCCCGTCTATCACCAACATAGGCCAATCAGCTAACCAGTATTTTCGCCCCTTCCCAAAATTACTTAAATGGAAGGTTTCCAGATGGATATGCGGAGCAAATCCATCTGGAGGAGTCAGGTTAGCAATATGCCCCCTGGTGTACTATCCTGTGCCAACACTAATTGATCAACCAATCACTCAATCAATCAAATGAAGATTAGTTGATTGACATCAGGGCTGCATGGTTGTAAAGTGGGTAGCACTGCTGCCTTGCAGAAAGGTTCTAGGTTTGATTCCTGGCCTGGGGTCTCTCTGTTGGAGTTTGCATGTTCTCCCCGTGTATGTGTGGGTTCTCTCCAGATACTCCGGCTTCCTCCCACAGTCCAAAACATGACTGTTGGCTTTCTAGATTGTCCTTAGGTGTGAGTGTGTGTGCATGGTTGTTTGTCTCTGTGTTGCCCTGCGACAGACTGGCGACCTGTCCAGGGTGACCCCGCCTCTCTCCCATGTACTGCCGGAGGTAGGCACCGGCCCCAACGCGACCCTGACAGGGACTCATTTTTGTCTTCTGTCTTGTGTGTGACTGTTCGGTATCTTCTTGCAGTTTCTTATCGACTTGCCAAGGACTACAGACGTAAAGTAGCCTTTTCTGCTAGTTCTGGCATATTTACATTAAGATGTTCATTAATAAGTCCCTTTTAAATAAATAAATAAACTAGCATTCCTCAAGGATTGACCTTCATCAAGCAGGAAAAATATCATTCTGTGCAGAGCACACTCTTGTAGGCTTTTCTTGCTTGAAAAACAAGCTCACATAAAAAAAAGCCACTTTCACACTCCAGATTGTGCAACAGGCTTTAACTGGAGCCCAACACCAACACACACGTTTTAACATGAATACGTCTGATTTCCTGGTGATGACTCTGTTAAAGACGTATGTGTCAAACATGCGAGGAAAAGAAGATATTAAAAAAACACGATAATGTTGGGTTTTTCTACAGGTCATATAGTAGACCCCTGGTCAACTCAAGGCTTTTTGAAATGCTTTGCTGTTCAATAAATTACAACCTTAGATGATGAGATATTTCTGCACAGAAAAGACCTCGAATGTTTAAAAAAATGAATACATCTCTACATATGAGAACCTTCTACACAAGTATACCTGTAGAGGAAGATAGATGGCTGCATCTATCTTATCTTATTCTATCTTCATCTTAAAACGTGTGAAGTTTATTTTATTATTGCTATTATGTTACATAGAGTGCAATGTAAAAGATCCAACAGTTAATATAAAAAATGTCTCCCAGAGTTACTAAAATGGCTGTTTACCATTCAGCATGTCAGTGATTAAAAGATGTCTTTGCTGCAGATGAATAATCACTGAGGTGAGGAGACAGATTAGAACATCTTAAAGAGCAGCAGAAAGACCAGAACCAGAGACCGGGCCGCCTGGATCCCACTGCTGTGCACAGAACACAAAACATTGATGACAGACCATCAATGTTGGAGGTTTCTCGTCATGTAATAATCATGTTATTATTAAGGTTGCGGTTGGCTTGTTTTTTAAATAATACAGAATCACAATCATATTTACAACTAAGTTACATTAGTGTGTAGCGGCAGCTAATATCTGAAGGCATTGATTTGATGAATAGTATTTTTTTTTTCCTGCCGGTTTTACTCTCCTTTTCCAGGTATTTCTGAAGAGGCTGCAGCTTTTAAAACCATTAGTGTTTTACAGCGTGTTGAGATGTGGGCTGTAGGCGGTGTTTGAAGCCAGACTTGACTGAGTGCTAAGTAGATCTTGAAAACGGATGTGCATTGCACTTACTAGACAAGAGGCTGTGTGTTGGACAGCACTATTGTTCTATGATGAACAAGATGTCTGATGGTAGACCGATCGGACTGCTGGGAAGGAAAGAGAAGCAACATGCAGACAAGTTTAAAATGTTGACTGAAGCTGCTGCATCAACTGGAGTCTCACCAGGATCAGTCTCTTTTACACCATCTGCGTCATTCAAAGGGCTATGCTAGCAGCAGCTGAAGAAACAAATGAGGCACACTGTACAGCCACAGCCTCCTCCTCTATAGCCACAGTCAACTCCTCTATAGCCACAGCCTCCTCCTTTATAGCCGCAGCCTCCTCCTTTATAGCCACAGCCAACTCCTCTATAGCCACAGCCTCCTCCTCTATAGCCACAGCCTCCTCCTTTATAGCCACAGCCACCTCCTCTATAGCCGCAGCCTCCTCCTCTATAGCCACAGCCTCCTCCTCTATAGCCACAGCCAACTCCTCTATAGCCACAGTCAACTCCTCTATAGCCACAGCCTCCTCCTCTATAGCCACAGCCTCCTCCTTTATAGCCGCAGCCTCCTCCTTTATAGCCACAGTCAACTCCTCTATAGCCACAGCCTCCTCCTCTATAGCCACAGCCTCCTCCTTTATAGCCGCAGCCTCCTCCTTTATAGCCACAGTCAACTCCTCTATAGCCACAGCCTCCTCCTCTATAGCCACAGCCTCCTCCTTTATAGCCACAGCCTCCTCCTTTATAGCCGCAGCCTCCTCCTTTATAGCCGCAGCCTCCTCCTCTATAGCCACAGCCTCCTCCTCTATAGCCACAGCCTCCTCCTCTATAGCCACAGCCACCTCCTCTATAGCCGCAGCCTCCTCCTCTATAGCCACAGCCTCCTCTTCTATAGCCACAGCCAACTCCTCTATAGCCACAGCCACCTCCTCTATAGCCGCAGCCTCCTCCTCTATAGCCACAGCCTCCTCCTCTATAGCCACAGCCTCCTCCTCTATAGCCACAGCCACCTCCTCTATAGCCGCAGCCTCCTCCTCTATAGCCACAGCCTCCTCCTCTATAGCCACAGCCAACTCCTCTATAGCCACAGCCACCTCCTCTATAGCTGCAGCCTCCTCCTCTATAGCCACAGCCTCCTCCTCTATAGCCACAGCCACCTCCTCTATAGCCGCAGCCTCCTCCTCTATAGCCACAGCCTCCTCCTCTATAGCCACAGCCTCCTCCTCTATAGCCACACCCAACTCCTCTATAGCCACAGCCACCTCCTCTATAGCCACAGCCAACTCCTCTATAGCCACAGCCTCCTCCTCTATAGCCACAGCCAACTCCTCTATAGCCACAGCCTCCTCCTTTATAGCCACAGCCTCCTCCTTTATAGCCACAGCCTCCTCCTTTATAGCCACAGCCTCCTCTATAGCCACAGTCAACTCCTCTATAGCCCCAGCCTCCTCTTTTATAGCCACAGCCTCCTCCTTTATAGCCACAGCCTCCTCCTCTATAGCCACAGCCTCCTCCTCTATAGCCACAGCCTCCTCCTCTATAGCCACAGCCTCCTCCTCTATAGCCACAGCCTCCTCCTCTATAGCCACAGCCAACTCCTCTATAGCCACAGCCAACTCCTTTATAGCCACAGCCT